AATAGCAGTTATTTTAATAACAGATAAGAGAAATAAACCTAAAAGAAAAAGTCATAATTGTGTTATTAATTGTGAAGTAACTATTAAAAAAATCTAAAGATTGTGATGCCAAAAGTTACTTTAAATCAAATAATGGCTTTCATCCATAGAAACTTTTGGCCTCATAATTTCGGACTCATGTGCTAACATATCTTAAAGTACTAGGAACATGATTAAATCTAAAATCGGAAACCCAAAATTTGGTCAAATCGAGGCAGTAAAATTCATGTGAGGCAATATTCGGTGCTATATATTCAGGCACACCCCCAAGTGTAAAGATTCAGATTTTTTCCATAAGACGAAACATTTTCTATGAGGTTAAGACAAATATTGGTGGATTGAGAAATAAATCTAAGAAATAAATTCATAATGATGTTGTTAAGTGTAAAATACCTATGAAAAAAGATCTAAAGACTGTGATGCCAAAAGTTACTTTAAGTCAAATAATAGTTTTCATCCATAGCAACATTTAGCCTCATAATTGCATGTTAGGTAACTTTCGGACTCGTACGCTTCGTATATGTGAAAACAGGTAATTAACCCATCATTCCGGGCACAATTTTGTTTTTGGAACGAAGTACTAGATTAATAAATTTAAAATTGGAAACCCGAAATTTCAACACAAGCCGGTGAAATTCATGAGGTGTATTATTTCACGATATGGATTCGTAAAATTTAAGGCACAATCTCAACATTCAAATTGTAATTGATAGACTCCGGCTTTATCTAGTTAAGTAATTTTATCTTTGTTGTTCAGTAACTGATTTCTGGTTGAATTAATTTTTATAAATGAAATATTAACATTTTTATTCACTCTATTTAGTATGTTTTTAATTTTGTAAGATAATGTTTCAATAAAATCCAGAAAATAATATCTACCTATGTCTTCCTTAGTATCATGGTCCGTTTTGAACAACGAGCAACATTGTTTTTTTTTTAATTTTGTATCTTATTTTGTCAATTAGATTGTGGATTAATTTTACTTTAAAGTCATTATTTATTGCAATTTGTTTTATGGACTGAAGTTCTTTATTATAGTTTTCATGGTTTAGATTAGAATTGAACAATATTTCAATTAAAGATGCAAAAGTTGATATTTTATGAATCCATAGGTGGTTGGAAGAATTGCAAATAATGTTGTCTGTCTATGTTTTATTGGCCCAATATCTTACAAAATTAAAAACATTCTTGGAGAAATATTAAACACGAGAGGCCAAAAGTTGCTATAAACGAAGTCATTCTTTTCATCTTTAGTACACTTTGACCCCATATGGATTCATACAAAACAACTTTCAGGCTCACAGTCCAAGGGGACATTAAATTAGTAACCCTTGTTTTAAGAATACCAAATCGTCTTTCAAATATCGGCGGATTGAGAAATTAATAAATCAAAGGGACAGATTTATAATTATGTTGTTTACTGTGGAGTATCTACGAAAAAAATCCAAAGACTGTGATTCCAAAAGTTAATTTAAATCAAATAATAGTTTTTATCCATAGCAACATTTGGGTTCATAATTACTGCTCCATTAAAATATTAAACTGGTTTTTCAAATTTCGCTTGTTTCTTGGATAAAATAATATGAAATACGAGAGGCCAAAAATTGCTACAAATGTAATTAATGATTATAAAAGAGTATAAGTAATTATTTTCATCTTTAGTACACTTTTGTCACACAAATTCATACAAAACAACTTTCAGGTTCACAACTCAAGCTAAAGTTAAATTAATTGTCGTTGTTTTAAGATTATCAAATTGTGATTCAAATACCGGAAGAAAGAAAAACAAATCTAAGAAACAATTTCATGGTGATACTATTAACTGTAAAGTACCCATGAAAAAAATCTAAAGAATGCGATATCAAAAGTTACTTTATATCAAATAATACATTTCATGCATAGTACCATTTGATCTTATAATTACATGTTTCGGAATAATGAGCTTCATATCTATCATTTCAAGTACAATTTTTGTTTTTGGAAATGAAATTCCAAGTGATTAGAAAATAAAACAGAAGCTCAAAAATGTATGGAAACGATGCATGACGTTCCAAGATATTAATTCCTAAAATTTAAAGCACACCCTTAAGCAAATATCCAGATTGGCTCCATAAGTAGAAAAATAATTTAAGAGATTAACAAAAACTTGTACTGCTAATTGTAGAAGTGCCTGTACACACAACCATAAAAGTAAATTTCTTACTCCAACTTAAACTGGTATTTTAAAATTGACATGTACGCCTTTCTTGGAGAAATATAAAAAGAGAGGTTAAAAGCTGCTAAAAAATAGTAATGTTTCTTTTTTCGAAATCGCGCAGTAATGTGCTTTTTCTATGTTCAAAAATCGGCACAGAAATTAAATGCGGTGTTGTCATATTAGTATTATCTACCTCCACAATTACATTTTACAAGGTTATAAATTGTTTTTCGGTTTAGCAGTAATTCTATACTCTTTGATAACCCTTTTTATTAGTTATTAGAAACACATCCGGTTTATTAATTTTATAAATATAATTTATTAACTAAATTTGCGCGTAATCTCGCAACGTCGCAACCTTGCATGGCAACAGCGGATTTCTTGAAGTGCAGCGACATTCTATGGCAGCGAACAATGTGTATCCACATAACCTGTAATAAGTTTTTGTTCGGTGCAGAAACAACCATGGAAAACATTATATGGAGAATATCTCATTTTGCATACGAGTATTTCGCTGAAAAAGAAAATTCTGTGAAATCAACATTTTGGGCTACATAGTCGTTGTTAAAGTCAACTCTGTTAATATAAAACAGCATAGATATAATCTAAGTACACCAAGTTCTCAAGCAAAAAATATAGGTTATGTTTCCCAGAAATCAAATATATTTACAAGAGAAAACTTACGAAAATTTTTAACAGAGGCCCGTGATTAATGTACCTAATGTCAAAGGTAATCTCAAAGAAGGTCAATCACATTGTCTATAAAACATAATGTTTTAGGTATATTTTTTATTCGAAGTTGTAGGAGTATGCGGAAAGGAAGAATTTGAACAATTTTCTTGTATCTACATAACCTATAATAAGCTTTTATTATTATTACAGAACAGATTATTAGCTTACATGCCCATTTTAAATGAAAGTATGAAGCATACCTCTTATTTTTCGGTACTTTTAATATTTTTGCTTGCAGAAAGATCTGCAGCAATTGCAAAATAGAGATGGATAGCAATAATAACAAGCAGTTTACATGCATTCGACCGAACTTGCAAAAACTGGCAGATAATATATCAAATTTATTACCTAAAAACTCAGCCACAGTTTATGAAAAGCGGTATGAATTTTTTTTTTTTGCGCAGAAACAACCATGCAAAATATATGGAGAACACCTCATTGCATACGAGTATTTCGCTGAAAAAGCAAATTCTGTGAAATCTTTAACACTTTGGGCTGCATAGTCGTAGTTAAAGTCAACTCTGTTAATAAAAAACAGCATAGATATATCTAAGTACACCAAGTTTTCAAGCAAAAAATATAGGTTACATTGCCAAGAAATCAAATATATTTACAAGAGAAGACTTACCAAAATTTTTAACAGAAGCCCGTGATTAAATGTACATGATGTTAAAGGTGATCTCAAACAAGGTCAATCACATTGTCTATAAATCATTATGTTTTAGGTTTATTTTTTATTAGAAGTTGTAGGAGCATGTGGAATGGATAAATTGAAAAATAATGACGGCATTCAAGACAAAAACGATACGCTAATAATTAAAATTCCAACGTCTAAAACTGGCAAAGCACGAGAATTTACAAATATGTGTAAAAATATTTATCCAATTGAAATATAGTAAAAATACCTAATTTTAAGACCGCACCATACACCAGACAAATCATTATTTATACATTACATTTGGATAGTGAATGCAGCAGCTGCTGCATTGTACAAATATACCTGCAAACACACTGTAACAAATTATGCAGACACCTCTTTTGACTAAAAGATATATATTTAACTTTATCCATACGTTGTCAACTTTGTTAATAATTGCAATCTCTAACTTCATAAGAAATATGAATAATCTACTTTGGTGTTTTATAGTAGTATTAAATGTTCATAGAACATAATTGCACTTACTACGAAGTAAGCTTTCCTAGTTTTAAGTTGTTTTCTTTTCTCTTTGATTATCTTAATTTCTTCAGCCTCTATGTGGCTGTTTTAATTCCAAAAAATTGTTTCTGAATAAACTGATTCATACCACTTTTTCTTTCTTTTACTCGAAAACAGTTTAAACTATAACTCCAAATATTTACCTACTTTACAACGTGTCAAGCATTCGGTTGTTGTAAATGATGCAACCATAAATACAAATTTGAACACTGATATGACAGGTTTGAGGCTAGGATGTGGTTTTCATATACTCCCATTACTTGTTGCCTAAATCTGGCGCGAGGCCAAAAGTTATTATTGACGTATATATATATATATATATATATATATATATATATTGATAATTCTACCTATTTTACGTAATTTATTATTTCCTAAAATACTGAATTTCCTAAATACTTTCCTGTACTTAAATAAAAACTAATCAGCAAAATTTAAGAGAAAAATCAAGAAAACCTACATAAAATTGAGCACGATTTTTTTTTGCAAATTCTGTCGATTCTGGGTTGAACCCTAGAAGGTTTCAAGGTCGGCGGTATGTTCAGGACAACAATATTGGTCCTCTTGAAGCGACCTTGTGCGCACCGAACCGGGTTTATGGCCCTTGCAGCCTCCTCGGGTTTACTCACCCTTTGTATATTCATTCATTCGAAAACGAGACTTAAAACTTGTAGCATCGAAACGAAACGTATCAATATATTTGTTGTTGTGTTAAAACGAAGTTTTTATTAATAACGCGAGACTTTGAACGTCTCCCCAAACATTATTTACCTCTGTTTACAACTGTCGAATTTTCACAGATAATATTTAACTTACCATATACGTTTAAACGGGCTGAATGGGAACTTCTTCCAGCTCGATTTTCTGCACTGCAAGAATATTCACCGCCATCCTCCACCATCACGTGGCTTATGTTTACATGGCTGATAACGTCACCATGTACAGTAACGTACTGTCCTATTACAAACCTGCAAAATAACGTTGTTATTAACAGACATTAAATTCACAAATAAATACCTATTAAAATGCTATCAACATGTGTTTTTATTTAAATAGTTTTCGGAAGTGATCAACCTAAACGAATAACATTTCAAATAACCATATCCTCTTGCGCGATGCTATTTTATTTTTAATGTAGTGAAAGTCAATTGGTATACTGAATTAAATTAAATGTGCTTGAAGAGTTTATTCGAGCTAGAATGCGAAATAACCAGGTATAAGGTTATGGTAAGTTAATGTATATTGATAAAAGTTCTGTATCAAGTACAATTATGAGGTATTTTGTTTTATTATGCATAGATATTCCTTAAGAGAGGCAACATGTGAAACCCCAAGAGGTGCATTTGTATGTCACCATATGGCTACACCTGCCCTACGCGGACGTTATAATGTATGAATTTTGGACCAATAATTTACGTTCTTGGGACATACATCTGAAGAAAAGTGAATCAGCTGAGGTCAGAGCTGTGATCTCTGAAAATTCCTTTAATCCCCAAGTCAACCTAAAAACAGCTAATGTTGAGGTACAACTTCATGAAAGCTTACGACAAATTGATGGGAGCGAAGCACCACAGTGAAGCACTGCTTTGGCTATTGGGCTCTAAACCAGAAAGATCTCAAGAAAATCTACTTCACAGTGTCGAAGAACTATTAGTGTCTGAGGACTATTTAAATGGACCATCAAGACGACAGTTTGTGGGCCAGTTTTTCACCAAAAGTGAATCAGATTTTGCATTAGGAAGTGCAATTTTTTATTGTAGAATATTTTTTTTTGTTTTGAAATAAATTGTTCTTTAAATTGTGATTTTTTTTTAAATGGGTGTTTCAGATCCAATTCGTACTAAAATGAAAGTGACTTTTACTTGTTCATGAAAGATTTAATCAGGAATGCTAAGTTTTTGCTTTTCTAGCAAAAATGTGTGAAAAGAAAAAAGCTTGGGATTGATGATGATTCTTAAATCAAAATTTGCAAATATGAGATCTCCTTTATGTATTATTTTAAATCCACAGCCGTATCTGTAGCATGATACAATAAATACCAGGTATGATATTGCGCAGGTACGAAGTGGGAGAGTGACGTCACTCAGAGAGTAAACACAGGCATTTCGCGCGTATTTTGCGACGTTTTTCTGTATTCCACGTGCCTTTTAGAAAGTTAGGGGGTGCACGTTATTTTATAATGGTTTTATAAAGTTACAACGATGCCTTGTGCCGTTTTTGGGTGTAATAGCGATAATCAATCAAAACATTTTCGGAACGACATAAAATTTTATTCATTTCCAAGGGACAATGTTACAAGACAATTATTATGGGTTATTTCTTGTTGTCGTTCGGACTCTTTTACAGTAAAAAATGCAAGAGTGTGTTCGCAGCATTTTAGTGAAAACGATTTTGAACGAAATTTGCAATACGAACTTTTGAATTATCTCCCTAAAAAAGGTTTAAAGAAACTAAAGTCTGGAACTGTGCCTTCGTTATGTCTTCCTAAAAGCAAAACAATCAAACTTAATAACAATATGGGGTATAAAATTTAACATGGGGATCCGTATGGCCCCTTTTAAAAATGATGCACACACACGGTTCAATAGTAGGTACATTGTATTTATTTTTAGTAGTTATTAAAAATTCTTATTTTTAAGTTCAGATTATGTGGTAAAATGTTGTTTTTGTCAATTGTGTCGAAACCATTTTTTGTTCTGTTAATAATAGATTGTTTTACAAGTAGTAAAAAGTGGTCGTTTTAATGGAAGGTTTAATTATCGAAGGGAGCGAAAAAGAAAAAACACATTTTTCTTATGTGTTGAACATGTTATTTTTTCGTGTACTCAGTTTTTCAAAGTTTAAAACAGAATTTCTAAAGTAAATTTCAATTTACGATAATTATGTTTACGTTAAATGTAAACAATTACCATAACAACAAGTATGTTCATGATAATCAAATAAAAACGTAAAAAAGCAAAAAATGGCTAATTCTGAAGATCTTGGCATTTTCAGATAATCTGCAGAAGCCATTGCGAATGTAGTGCCCGTAAAATAGTAGGAAAAGTATGAAAGGTGTTACAAATACTTTGATGAATGATGAGAAGAACAAAAAATTCAAATAAAGCGGACGAGACATCAGTTATGCTGAATGGTTGGAAAAGTGTTACTAACGAGAAAAATAGCACTTTTTATAATTATCTCCAAATTAAAGGCGCATTTTTCTATTGAGTACACGAAAAATAATATTAAACACGAAATTTTAATTTGTCGCACACGATAAAAATGCGTATCAAACTCCCTTAAATTCGTTTTTACAATTTAATTCAGACAGATACGTAAATTTATTTTTCCGGTCATTTTATGCAGCGTTATAAATATAATATAGAGGTTGTACATACAACACACTTTTTTAAATACATAAAGAATTATAACAGTAAAAATTAAAAATATTAGCGATTCTTCGTGCTTTTATGTTGAAATTCCAATAGTTCTACTCTCTGAGTGACGTCATGCGCGAACTGGTCTCATTTTGAGCCGCACGAGTATCATATCTTGAGAATTATTGTATCATGGATCTGTAGCATCTGAAAATCAAAGCCATTTATGTGGAGGGGGAAGTCAATGGCAGTATGAACCACTGTACGACATACGTTCGAGGCAAATGTAATGGTAAAAGTTGAATTTAAATATTTATTAAATACCACCAGTTCCGTTCATGTTTAGTATCAAGATCAACAATAAAAATATCAGTCTTCATGGTACAAGTAGTGGGATATATAAGAAAATTACTTTAATGGTAGAATTTAAGCGTTAAAATGACGCCTCGATTTCACCCATAAGGATTACACGGGGAACTGAAATACGGGTCTCGTGTTATGAACTGAGTTCAAATTTCGCGCGTCATACACTTTACTGGTCAATTAGCCAATAACACGTGACGTCACGCTGTGGCGGGAACTCAGCGTTTGACAAGCGCCGTGAAACTTCATAAGTGACAATGTTAACATTTTCGCATTTTATTTAAAAGTGTGGGTATTTATCTAGAAAATAAACACGTGAATAGCTTCTTTCATATCTTTTCTGTGTATCAGGGTGCTTTTTTTTGGCGATTTGAGTTTAAAAATACATAATAAAAATAAAAATACAGAACGCTGTTTTGGTCTGAATTCCTCGTCACCCAAAATACATCCGTGTGTTTTAGGCGGTAAATCGGAAATTAATATTTTCGTTTGAGATTAATGTGACGGGTTTAAGTGAAGGTGTGTAATTTGTTTTTAAAGTATGGATAATTTAAGTGATTATGCACGATGTCTTTCCGTCAAAGAGAAAAACAGATATGTACAAAAGTTAAACATTTTAAACGGCGTAGATCCTTATACAATGAGTGCAAGTGATTTTAATTTGTGTTTAGACGATGTCCCTACCATGGTAGAAGGAGACATGGTATAGGCACCCGATGTACCAATTTAAAAATGGTCTGCGCATCCATTTGTGACGTTAGGTGGCATCAACGACCTTGTCACTCTTGTGAGCTTCGCTAGGGAAGTCTAGGGAATTTCAGCTTGAGTTGTCATTGCTCTGTCCAATAGGTCAATTAGTTGTCGGATAACAAAAGTTTGTATTTTAAATTTCGCGCTAATTTCACCCCACTTGACGTCACACCCGATGTGTATGCCTATACCATGTCTCCTTCTACCATGGTCCCTACCATAACAATGAATACCATTCTAATTTTTTTTTATTTTTGGAATAAGTAAAATAACCCACAATGAAATTCGTGCATTCAAAAGTCTAGAGGCATTTATTCAGTTTTCTCTTTTTTAAACGACTGTCTTTCAACATTACAAGTATTATGAGTGGATTTATTTTGATATCCTAAATTTTGTGATGGAACATAATCAGGATGGTCCACATCTGACAAATCTGCAGGTTTACCTAAAAGAGCACCAATGTAGTAATTTATTAAAAACTGTAAATCTAATAGGTAGGTACTGTACCAAAATAAAATGATCCGAACAAACATAGGAATACTTTACTTTGGCTTCGTTAAATCCACTCGTTTCAAGGCTTTTAACCAAAGCTTCCGCCTTTTTTCCCCATCCTGTATATATTTACCTTTATTGTTGCTAATTGCTGGGAAAGGAAAATAAAATTTGTCCGCATTTCTGGTGCTTCGATTCGCGCAACCCACAACAGCACAAAATTTAGGCATTTTCTCCTAAAATACAAAATATTATAATATTAAGATGCTAGTGTATTTAAAAAACATTGATGTACATTAGCAAAGAATTAATTTGCAAAACAAATAATATAAGATGTAGCGAAGTTAACTTGTACATCACATTGGAAAACATTATTTTTTAAGCATATTCAAACGTTATGGTGCGTTTTACAGATATCTACACAGTCTAGAAACTGTAACAAACTTACCAAACTATAAAAACACAGTTGACACGCTCTCAAATTTAAATGAATCCCGAAAATATTAACATTGACTCTTATGAGAAAACCGGCTAGTTGTCAAACGCTGCCATCTTGATGACCTCGGATGACGTCAGTGTATTTGGCTAATTAGCCAAATACACTGACGTCATCCGAGGTCACCAAGATGGCAGCGTTTGACAACTAGCTAGTTTTCTCATAAGAGTCAATGCTAATATTTTCGGAATTCATTTAAATTTGAGAGTGTGTCAACTGTGTTTTTATAGTTTGGTAAGTTTGTTACAGTTTCTACACTGTGTAGATATCTGTAAAACGCACCATAACGTTTGAATAGGCTTAAAAAATAATGTTTTCCAATGTGATGTACAGGTTAACTTCGCTGCATCTTATATCATTTGTTTTGCAAATTAATTCTTTGTTAATGTACATCAATGTTTTTTTAAATACACTAGCATCTTAATATTATAATATTTTGTATTTTAGGAGAAAATGCCTAAATTTTGTGCTGTTGTGGGTTGCGCGAATCGAAGCACCAGAAATGCGGACAAATTTTATTTTCCTTTCCCAGCAATTAGCAACAATAAAGGTAAATATATACAGGATGGGAAAAAAAATCGGAAGCTTTGGTTAAAAGCCTTGAAACGAGTGGATTTAACGAAGCCAAAGTAAAGTATTCCTATGTTTGTTCGGATCATTTTATTTTAGGTACAGTAACTACCTATTAGATTTACAGTTTCTAATAAATTACTACATTGGTGCTCTTTTAGGTGAACCTGCAGATTTGTCGGATGTGGACCATCCTGATTATGTTCCATCACAAAATTTGGGATATCAAAATAAATCCACTCATAATACTTGTAATGTTGAAAGACACAGTCGTTTAAAAAAGAGAAAACTGAATAAATGCCTCTAGACTTTTGAATGCACGAATTTCATTGTGGGTTATTTTACTTATTCCAAAAATAAAAAAGTTTAGAATGGTATTCATTGTTATGGTAGGGACATCGTCTAAACACAAATTAAAATCACTTGCACTCATTGTATAAGGATCTCCGCCGTTTAAAATGGTTTAACTTTTGTACATATCTGTTTTTCTCTTTGACAGAAAGACATCGTGCATAATCACTTAAATTATCCATACTTTAAAAACAAATCACACACCTTCACTTAAACCCGTCACATTAACCTCAAACGAAAATATTAATTTCCGATTTACCGCTTGAAACACACGGATGTATTTTGGGTGACGAGGAATTCAGACCAAAACAGCGTTCTGTATTTTTATTTTTATTACGTATTTTTAAACTCAAATCGCCAAAAAAAGCACCCTGATACACAGAAAAGATATGAAAGAAGCTATTCACGTGTTTATTTTCTAGATAAATACCTACACTTTTAAATGAAATGCGAAAATGTTAACATTGCCACTTATGAAGTTTCACGGCGCTTGTCAAACGCTGAGTTCCCGCCACAGCGTGACGTCACGTGTTATTGGCTAATTGCACATAGGTCATGTACGGTCTATCTTCAGAGTTAAAAAAATATCTCTGCATAAAGAAGATAGAAGTATTATAAATTGCGACGTATTTATCAATAATTCACCAAACCCGTGCATTTTTGTTTCACACTTTTTTGTCTCAGATAATTCATATTTATTATATTTCACAACAATTTTACGAAGATCTCTTAAAGTTGCTTCTAAACGTTGATTAAACACATACAGATAGTCCCATTCTATTGTTTCGAGCGTGCACTCTGACGGCAGGCGAACAAGTGATGGCATTTGACGTTTCTCTGTCAAACGTCGGCAAATACCATGGTAGAAGGAGACATGGTATAGGCATACGCATCGGGTGTGACGTCAAGTGGGGTGAAATTAGCGCGAAATTTAAAATACAAACTTTCGTTATCCGACAACTAATTGACGTATTGGACAGAGCAATGACAACTCAAGCTGAAATTCCCTAGACTTCCCTAGCGAAGCTCACAAGAGTCACAAGGACGTTGATGCCACCTAACGTCACAAATGGATGCGCAGACCATTTTTAAATTGGTACATCGGATGCCTATACCATGTCTCCTTCTACCATGGGCAAATACATAGTTTGGAATCAAGGTTAGTTAATAGAGAACAGGTTACCACATAAACGAGTTTGTGGGCAAAATCGCTTACGGGGGAGGAGAGGTGTCAGCCACATGTGACGTCAAAATGAGGTTGGTATTACTTGGGAATTTTTAGTAACTTGTAATTTTGAGTTGGTGTGACCGATCAGCTGATGCCTTTAATCTGTACGATCTGTACCGCTAATTCTGACGTTTGGTGTTAGTACTGCGACTCGTGTAACCCTATTTTGCCTTAAATTAAATTTATTTGTGTTTAAGCTAAAATGAAATGTTTTGATTATTACTAGAAAGGAAAAAGTAAACCAGTAAATGCAGATTTTCAGATTTTTTTGCATAAAAAAAAATCTGTTAATAGTGTCGCATTTGTTATTTTCAAGTTCTACTGGCAGCAAAACATTGTTCTTGAGGTTTATTAAATTGTTCTTTACACAGGATTGAAATTTGCGAAGTAGAAGCGGTCACTTGATTAAAAGTTTCCGTTTTTAGTGCGTTACTCGAGTATTTAAAACGGGCAATTTTCGCGCCATTTGAGAGCCCCTTGTGACGTATAAATATGGCATCCCAATGTGGCAACCTTATCTATTAAATGACTTTGGTTTGGAATCTAATCGCTCGCTTAGACTATCACCAACTAGTGGCGGCTCGTGACTGTCTGATCTGGTGAGGCGATGATAGAAATTTGAGAATATAATTAATATCATTAATAATAATATCATTAATAATAATAATAATAATAAGAGGCAATATGACAAGTGCTATAGTTTATTTTTGGAAGAAGCTAACGAAGAAAATGATTTGCTTTGGAGGTTAACATAAACAAAGTTCCTATAAATTGAGCAATTTATTGTTGTTTCTTTAGGTTGTTTTGATTATGGGAGTATCACGAGCCATGAGACGTGATGAGTTGACAAAAATCACCATTGATGACATGCAGGATCGCAATTTTACCGTTACGAATTCAGATTATACCTATAAGACTAATTTAGAATTGGGTCCAAATGAATCCAACCATTTTAATTCAAATGAAAACGAAAATAGTGTAAATAAGTAGTGTAGTAAAGTTTGATAAAACTTATATTGTTTATCCGACAATAAATAAATTTTCTAGCAAGTGTCTGCTTTTATTCAAGTGTCGAAATTTGTAAAAATGACATTTACTTTAACGGCCCTTACTTATAGTAGCGGCCGCGAAATTTGATTTCGCGGACTGTGTGACGTACGCGAACTGGTCAATTCATATTTTGTCGGACGCGGGTTGTAATAAATTTGAACTTACGGAAACACGTTCTTGGACTGAGTAATAATCTTTTGCCACACCATACAGTACAAAACCCACAAAAACCTCACGGGCCCATTTCAAGTTGGATTTGCGATATCGCAAGAAATGGAAGGTGCGATGGCAGTAGTCGTAACAGCGAATCGCAATCACGAATCACAAAAACTGCCTTCACAATAGTTACATCTTCCATAGCAAATCCAACATGAAATTAGTCCTTCCAGAGAACAAGCAACACTAGTAATGAAGGAAGGTGATCTGCTAGATGTGCTATATAGGGCATATGGGTAACTAATCTTCATTCTGAAAGGGGGAGAGACCACTGAGGGAATGAAGCTAAATAAATAAGTCGATGTACGGTAACTTTAAAAAACAAATCCAAGGCATCTAGTGACAATTAACCGATCAGCTAACTAATGTAACCGTAATATAAAGCATTGATATTAATTCAAACAATTTTAATATTAAAGTTTTTGAATCACACTGTAACTTTAACTTTGATTTAATTCATTTTGCAAAACTGCAGATACATAAAAAATAATAATAAAATTTATTGTTATTCTCTGAGATCATACACGTTCTGCATTGTCCATAATTACTCAATGAAATAAGGACGCATACTTTGGATATTTAGTGTACGCGATGTAAAAACTCACTATTATAGTATTATGTTGAATCACCTGCCATGACTTGGTAAAGGAAATCCGTCAAGCGTCCATGATATCTGAGGAGTAGGATTACCAGATGCACTACATTTGAGTGATACAGCGGGTCCAGGTTGCAGTGTTTGTTCTATAAAGCTGTAAAGTAATGTAGGCGGTGCATCTGTAAAAAAAAACATTTTAATTATAAATTTATCTACTGTAAAATTTCTTCCAGTGGCGGCTCGTAGATGGTCTCAATTGGTCAATTATCCTCCAAAAAATAAAAACTGAAGAAAGTATTTTTTTGTCAAAATTACGTTTTGTCAGTTATGTATTTCTATATGTTATACCATGACATGAATAAAAAATTCAACAAGATAACCAGTCTGATTCACGATTCGTTGGGTCAATTATAAATATTGACTTCGTGCAGAGTATTATACGTAGTTATATCTTTTGAGTGGGAGTTAAATAAACTTATAGCAAAATTCGTTTAAAGCAGTCAAACATAGCCCATTGCGTTCTGCAATCATCATAACTACTGTATCGGTCGGGAAGCCGGGTAGATATTCGCATTCAGCTTGATAGCGTCTACAGAAGTTCAATTCAACACTATGAAAACGTAATAAAAAATCGTTACGTTATATCGAAAATTCTAGATTTTATTATTTGTGTTGCATTTGAATGAGGAAAATGAAGATTCCGGAAATCTCGGTGTATTGCGTAGTTTAATAACTTTGTGGCGGAATTTGACATTATTTTCAAAGACCATTTAGAGGGAAATGCTAATTTTGAGGAGACTTCGAAAATAATTCAGAATGAGTTACTTGATTTCATCCTTGCTGTTTGTCAAGACAAAATTAAATCTGAATTCGGTGCTAACAGATTTTATAGCGGTTTAAGTTGACGACACGACTGACAGTTCTACAAAAATGCCAATGATGCGTATTTTTAGATACGTTCTTAATGGTTTAATGTACGAATGATTTTTGGCTTTATTAATCCCTTTGGGACAATAGCTATAAACCTGAGCGACGAAATTTTTAACCACCAGTTAAATTTAATTATGCAAAAAGCTCTTTCGTCAGAAAACAACCTAAAATCTATTTATTGGATGACGTAATAAAAGTACAATTACCAAAGGCAGCACCAACCGGATGGAAGTCCATCGTGAGGTGTGTTGAAACTGTACGTGTATTTAAAAACGAAGTTTTGACGTGTTTTGATACAAGACGAATATTATATATTGAGACCGACCAAAACACTCTAATTGGGGGTCTGAAAAATTATTATTTATGTGATGAAGATTTCACGTGTTGTTTAAATTTTTTTTATAATATTTTGCCACATTGCAATATTCTTCTTAAGAAGCTGAAAATAAGAAGTATTGATATTATAACAGGGAGAAAACGCATAACAAACTGTGAAGGTAATATTAAAAGAATAAGGTCAAATTTAGTTGCAAATTCGGATCTTCCTACAACTTCACACGCAAATGTATTAAAAATACGAAGAATGGACATGGAAAATATTGTAAAGCGTCATATAGGAATAGAAATATAAAACTGACCCTCTAGTAGAGTAAACTACGAGCCGCTACTGGTTTCTTCCAAATAGAGAACACAGATAGGATTCATTCATTTATTTCTTAATACGCCTTTTAACTTTCAACTATAAACATTCATTGTCGTCCCACACATTGAGCACGCTTCCTCTGCCAGACTGCCCTCTCTCATTACATTGTCCCTACTCACATTTCAACCAGTGTATATTTAGGTTAAACCTAAATATATAACATATTTAGCGTTTATTATTATTAATACAATGAAACTTAAAATACTTTGTTGTGTAAAACTGAACATCATTTACAATATAGAGGTAATATTGCATAAATTTTGCATAGGTGGTAACACTTCGGTTAATTTAAAACAATTTTCTTCCCAATTTTAATGTCCCCCTAAAACGAAGAGAACTAACTGATTTGCGGTGACAGTTTTTTTTCTTAACAATCCTTATCTATACAGGGTGATTCGGCCTAAATGATGAATGTAATTTGTGGTTAGCGGCAACCCGCTAACCCCGTTATTCATTTATTTCGTGATTTACGCTAGAATTTCAAAAATATCACAAATCCACGAAGTCTGTGGTTTTAAAAATGTCAAGACAATTATCTGGTGCCCTATATAAGAAACGATCAACTTGCTCCTTTGTAAAGACTGGTGCCTTTTTTGGAGTATATCCCTCGTTTTGTCTCTTCAGAAACGTACGTAACTTGGAATATTTACTAATATTCACGCCGTTTTCAATTTCCAAAGTTGATCGCAACATTGAATACTGTGAACATAACGAAGACAGTTTCACTTTCTTTACTAATTTTGTGAAATACACCATAAGGACATCCTCAGAATATATTTGCACTGCTTTTTCCTTACACCACTCCAATGTTAAAACGTTGATATGCACTTTCATAAATTTCTCGGGATTTCTGGGGAAGAAGATTTAACGAAACTTCTTTGGCCCACTCAAATATATCTTCTGGTACTTGATTACAATCCATTTTTACTTTAACTTGCAACTTAATTCCCAAATTTGCAATATGGCGGATAACGTTTGAAAATTTTCCATGACTACATCGAAATGGGCTAATTTTGTTTCCAACGAGTTTTTGGTTAATTTTAATTGTTCAAAAGCAAAAATGAAATACACTGACCGGCAAAAAAAAACCGGCCACCCTGAAAAATTTCGCAAAACCACTTTAAAAATAATTCATTTAATTAATAATCATTAATTAATTAATTAAACGATCGTTATTTTATTAAAGAACCATACAGTATTGACACATGATCTATAAATTAGCATAAAAAAGAGGATAAATAAACGCAGAAATAAATTTAATTTAACAAAATACCAGAACCATACCAAATAAGATATTTTCTTAATTAAAACTATAAAGGAGGCTGTTGCAAACAGTGTTTTTCGTCATTTGATTATAAGTTTGGTCGTTAATAAACGTTTTCACGCGAAAACAATGCCGTTAACTCTTACAGACGTATCTCAAATTGTGGCTCTGTTTCTGTTATTCTGGTGAAAAGTAGTGGCGAAGTTTGTATGGGAAAAATATTTGTATTGTAAATTTAAATTTTTACGTGAAACTTGGTTTTACTTAATACTCTCCAACACAAATAATGAAACACGTATTTCAGATTGTTTCGAGATTTCACTCCTAAGAAGATGAAAGGGGGTGACAAAGTTTTTATGAGCAAACATTTTTTATGTCGATTTTTACTGGAAATTGTATTAATGTCCTTCAACACATTTTTTACTTGAAGGTTGATAATAATGCGGGGGAGGGAGGGAGGGAGGGAGGGAGGGAGGGAGGGAGGGAATCAAACAATTAGCTCTCACGGTACAATAGAATAGAACAGAATAGAATAGAATAGAATATTTATTAACGGGATACCCCTATTACAATATTAATTCAATTATTTATCATACAAGAAACAAACTTACAAAACTGAATATAATAAATATTAAACAATAAATAAATACGTGCAAAATAAAATTAAAAATTATTAACTAGAAATGTTCATCATGCGTCTAATTGGATGGTTTTGCGATCTTTTTGTTATAGATTATAGACAAAGGAATTCTGAAAATCAGTTGACTACGAGTCAATCTGCTATCAGCAGGCAACACAATGAAAGATAATTTCTCTAGTAAGCAGGCATTATCTATCTCACCATTAATAAGTCCTCGAAGAAATGGAATATCGGAAATTATGCGATGAGTTTCCAGTGAATTAATATGAAAATTACACATTACCCAAGTGTAATTACCCTGTATATGAGTTCGACCAAGTTTAAATTCTAATAAGCGAAGGAATTTTTTCTGTACTCTTTCCAATAAATCACAATCAGTTTTATAATTAGGATACCATATGGAAGAACAATAAACTAGGTGAGATCGAACAAGAGAAAAGTATAATATTTTAAGGGTCGAAATCGAAAAATGTTGACAATGCCTCCAAATGAGCCCAAGAATCCGTATTAATTTATTAAAAATAAAATAATTTAATGATTCTTAAATGTTAATCTAGAATCGAAAACAACACCTAAATCTTTGACTTCCTCAACACGAGACAAGGTAGAATTACCCAAATAATAGTAAAAGTTCACCCTCAGAGGAGGTTTTACCCACACGGAAAGTAGCCCGTGCAATGGGTTATGATTTTTTGAATCATTGATTTATGAATGGTTAAAAATAGTTGAAAATTTAATTGAGTGTTTTCAAAGGATGTGGCATTTTGCCACCGTTCGAATTTTTTTAATCTGATAAATAACTGTTGCAATAAAAATTAACAAAATCACATAAAATTGAAAAAAATGACGCCTTCGAAAAATTCAAACGGGGGCAGCAAGATCAATGTTTCGTAACTGCGTATATAAAATTGCGCCGTTGTAAATTACAAAATGTTGCTATGAAACGAAAAAACAGAACGCATGTTTTCGGACAAAATGCAAGCCGATTTCTGGTCGCCCTCACTCGGGTCAGGTGAGGAAAGACGCTAAGCGGGGGCTCACATCTACTCCCACTCTAAAACGCAAACTACAGACACGACGAGATCGTATTTTGAAATACTTTTGTCATATTATAATCGGTGGAGTGTTACAAGTCGACGACGATACCCGAACTAAGTTGAATCTTTCTGTGTACGCTGTGACTAAGATTCACCTCTCCCGTCGAAAATGTTTACGTCCCTCAGAATTCACTGAGTTCACAGTTCGAGAAACGAATGAATGGCTTGAGTAAAACCTGCTCTTAAGAAATGATATAATAAGACACTTGTTAACATTCAAAGGCAATAAGTTGTTTTCTGTCCAATCATATAAGATATTAGGATCTGATTGTAATTCAAGTGCATCCTTCACGGAACTAACAGTTTTAAATACCTTCAAATCGTCCGCATACAACAAAATTGGAGTAACGAAAGCCACGCATTAAATCGTTAATGAACAGTGAAAACAAAATTTGTCCGCAGTGCGATCCTTGAGGTACGCCTGATGGAACTAAATAAGGAAACGACATGTAACTACCAATCCAAACTTGCTGTGATCTTCCCGACAGGAATGATGTTAACCATTTAACGGTATTATTGTTAAACCCTAATTGACTCAATTTACA